TACCAGTACAGCCAGCCGGAACCACAGTGGGACCGTCGAACATGAGGGTCAAGAGCAAGAGGCGAGGACATTATCTAGGTGATTCTCACGGCCTGAATTGACGCGTTCAAAGGCGATCAGGCATGAGATCTGAGAACTTGCAGATTTCAAGTTGTCTGCAGGCTACACTGTAGTGGTCTTTGCTCTGCATTTCGATATACTCTTCTTGGGACCCCTTTACTTCTGAAGCCCAGGTTTGAACCCTGATGGCACCCCTTGATCGTTGGCGATGCGATTTTCTTTTATGCTCCATCGTTAACTCACTTGTCGTGCTCTTTCCTTGTTGAACTCCAGCCAAACTCCAGCTGAAGTATCTAAACAGAACGGAGGGAAGCTGCAGTGCTGAATGCAAGAGAGTGTCTCCCTCCTAACCATCAATGCTAATCCCGACTACCTGGGACGTTCCGAATCCCATGCAAAATGAAAGAAGCTCCAGGCTATCAGCTCTTCCATCCTACTCCGAGATCAGGTGTACTAACCATCTATCATCGATAAGGTCATGGGTATTTGATGCAAAAATCTCAGAAGCACTATCACTCAAACTCGTCCAAGAGTTCCACTGCAGCTGAAGGCGGAATGAGCATATTGGAAGTAGGCTCCTCTCGCAACCGCAAGCGCCGGTTCCGGGCATGAGTGTAAAGCGAAGTTTCCGTACCATGAGGCTCAGGAAACTACAAGGGTCCAAGGCTAAGCGTACTTCGCAACAGAAAAATTTCTTTCTCGGACCGGTGCTGCTGCACTAAAGGTTCCATTCCTAAAATTTTTTTGACTCGGGGAAAAGGTAACATAGTCGGGCTATAAGCGGCCATGAGACGATGACGTCGGTACTAGCACGGATATGGGACAGAGACGTAGAAACTGGGAATTTGTGGTTTTTGGGTAGTAAATATACCGAAACCAGGAAGGGAATGGTTCCATTACCTAGGTCTGCAATACGGCTGGGTCGAGGAGGAAGGCTGAAGAAAGACGAGAAGAGATGACCGACGATCTGTACGTAAAGGTTCTGGAAAACTGGAAATTCCACGGTTCCTCATCTGAGGAATCTCGCGTGGCGTGGTAGGACCCCGAATACACCGACGATTAAAATATAGATTTGGTTGGTATGGGAGATGGTATGTAAACATGGATACCAGTTGGTCCAGGATTCTGAAGTGCAATTAATCAAGTAAATTTAGTCGAGAGTCGAGAGCACGGAGGGTAAACACCATTCCAGAGCAAGAGACTGATACAACTTCAAGGCGAAGAATTAGAGATCTAGCAAGCCACAAAAAGGCCCGAAAGGCGCGTCAGAACCCACCGAAATTGGAACCCTTGAAAATTTCCATCAGTACCTCAATATTCAACGCATTCGCAAGCGGAAGGCATGACGTTACCTCAGGGTCCTCCTTCCGCCGCCACAAGCTCAGAAGCCCAGTCGGCAGGCACGTTCTATGGTGTCCAATGTCCTGCAGGGCACGAGGCTACAGAAAATTTTTTCATGTGGGGTTCATTCCGTTTTCTGGGGACATGAGGCAGGTGAACGGTCATCAGACCAATCTTCCGAACGGTGGCTTTTCGAAATTGTGGGTGCATGTCTGCTCAGTTTCCAGAAAGAAATGATCTGGAAGGTTTTCATTGAGATGATATCGCGCCGTAAAGCAGTTCCCTCAGAGTCTAAGGTTGAGCAAGAATAGAGAATCGAACCAAGAACTTGAAGCGAGAGCCGTGATGGTTACAAGCGAAGCGCAACATATGTCACATCATCTGATAACATACAGTCACAGTCCGAAAAAGGGTTTGTTATCGACCACCATCGTGCTCTGTCAAGAAAACTTTTGGCTCAAGTTCTCCGTCAAAGTGGCTTCAAGAATTGGGTGAGGGCAATCACTGACGGAATTCACTATCAAAAGTCTCAAAAAAAAATTGGTTTTATGTAGTGTCGTAGCCTCCTCCTCCCTGTCCCTACTGCTAGAACTTCAAGTTCTAATTCCGTTGTCTACGCAGGCTGAGGAAGCGAAGAAAAACGCATTCGCGAGTGAATTCAATTGAAAAAATTTTAGTGGATCGGTTACTAAATAAGCTAGCCAGGAAGCGTAACGGGTCTACGGGGTCCCCGCCTTCCCTTCCCTGCCTGACCTGCCATATAAGTGCACGCGCCAAATGGTACTTCATTTCGGTTTCACTCCCTTTTCCTTCACCCCACTCTCATTCTCTCGCTCCTCCACAATGGCTCTGTACGTTCCTCACCCTGGGTTTACCCTCAGCTTTGCAACCGTCGTTGAGGCGCCTGCTGTTCCGCCATTGGACTCTACGATGGGCGCTGCTCTTGTCGGTTGTTTGCTTGCTTGTGTGTAAGTGTCCGATTGTCTTTCCTCTTTTAGTTTTCGTGAGCTGACTCGATCGTTCTCTAGCTTGTACGGTGGTAGGTCCATAAATTCCAAGACAACAAGCTCTTCGACAACACGAATCATCGACAGTATCCCTTCTGCAAACATACAACTACTTTATCGAACCCGGAGCAAACGACAAATGGCCTCTCAAGCTCGTCGTAGGCGCCGTGTTCTTGTTTGATACTATCCATTCCATGTTGATCTCTCACACGAGTGAGCTCCTCTGTTCTGCCTTGGTTTATCGCTGAACTTATTGACGCGCTAGTCTATACCTACTTGGTTACCAACTACGCCAACCCTGCTATTCTTGGAAAATGTGTTTGGTGCGTTTCATCTTGCTGTTTGCCTTGATCCTCGTGCTGATAAACTCCTTAGGTCCCTTTTGGTACGCTAGTCATCACTGGATCACTCGTATAACTCACTGACGACCATTCACAACAGGCTGAAGTCCTGTTTAATGTACGTTCTCTTATTCTATAGTTGGGCTCAAATTAACTTGTATTTGATCTACACGCAGGGCCTCACCGGGTTCCTTGTTCAGAGGTATGTCCATCATGCAATTTTATCCAACGGATCATGTTTGGTGTCTGACGTCTTCTTTACTCTAGCTTCCTCACTCACCGCGTCTGGCGCTGTACGTTCCTTTTTCCTTGTCTCTACATATAGATCCCTGATGTCACCCATAGATCTAACCTTATCTCGACGCAACAGTTCCCTAAGTTTTACTACCATCATCGTCACTGGTGTGGCGGTCATCTTGGTTTTGGCTGAATTCGGTCAGTCTTTCCATCTCTTCTGCGTTCTCGGATGTTCACAAAATTTGATAGGATGTATCACTGCTTTCGCAATTATTGCTCTTGTCCGCGTCAAGTCTTTTGATGACCTTGCTACTATGAAGGTATTATTCCCTCTCCGCTTTGTCTTCCCAGTGCTGATTTAGGTGGCTCATTCAGTGGCTTAGTATCCTTGTCAATGCGCTCGCGGCCGCAGCAGACGTATACATCGCCGCCGTACTGTGCTTTCTGCTTCAGGGTAGCAGGACTGGGTTTCAAAGGTTTGTTTCTTTAGCCCAGTCGGTGATACTTCAGCTTATGAGTATCTTACATTCCAGGAGCGATACGATTATCAGAAAGCTCATCATGTACGCGGTCAACACTGGCCTCTTGACGTCCTTATGCGCCGTTGCCTCTTTGATCTCAGTATGTTGTATTTTTTTCTCTCTTTAACTTGAAATTTAGCTGATGCATGCATGTATAGATCACCGCCGCTCCAAACACGTTCATCTACATCACTTTCTTCTTCTGTATTGGTCGCCGTAAGTTTCCTTTGACCTTGCTCACCACTGGTACCTGACGCCATTCTAGTCTACGCCAACTCTCTTCTTGCCACTCTCAACGCTCGCCGAAGGATCCGCGAATCCGTCGACGGCGATGGCGGATACAACACTACCAGTGGCGTTGGTGTGGGTACTGGCGCCGGATTGGGGTTTGCCAAGGGCTCGTATGCTGCCAGTCAGCCCGTAAGTCTTCCTTTGCTTTGTTTCCTTCCACTGCTTGCGATGTCTGATGGTTAAACGGTCAGTCTCAACGTCAAAATGGCATCTCCATCCACATCGACACCATCACCGACGCCGGCTCCCCTGAGAAGGCGGCTGCCAGGGCCAAGAAGAGTATGAGCATTACTGACGAGATGGAAATGGAACTGGAGATGGTGCAGATGAACGACTCCGACTCTGGCGTAAGCCTTTTCTTCTGTATCCTTTCTAGTGTATGTGCTGACTTCATTCGTGATATAGGAAAGTGACCGAAGGATCGATCGTGTCCTCCGAGACAACTTCGTCAGGTCATAAACGTCTGCTCGCTACCGACATATCTGTCTTGCCGACTTCGCTCAATGCTTCATTGCTCATACCCACTGCTGTCTCATCAAACTTCATGATATCTTTCTTGCATTCGATACGACCATGACTCCACGCACGCACGCATCTCTCGTCGCCGTATCTCGTGTTTCGGACTACATACATCCCTTCGTTGTTCACCATGCACATGATACCTCAAGTCCCCACTTACATACACTCTTTCCATGCACGCATGCAAATATCGAACACTCTTCTTGCTGTATCAATATCATTTACCTGCCTGTCGCTCTCTCATTCATGTACAGATATCGTTGTTAGCCCGTTCGTTGCTTCCTGCTCATACTCAAAGGTCTGGTTTTGTTGTCGATGGTGGTTGTTGGCTGTTGGTTGATCTACGTACATACATAACACTGGTTGGAATGTGAATACAATGTTGAATGTTGTTGCCTTCATTCTGTGATGATGCCGTTTAAGCATTTAGGAAGAGAAGAGAAGAGAAGCATGAAGTGGAGTTCACTAGTGGATCCGCCTTGTCTACTGTCACTGTCAGGCCCAAGAACCAGCGTGGTTCTGGAAGGTTTTGAAGATGGAATACCGGTGCGGCTATTCGGTTACGGAGAAATGTCGAGGACTTTGCGACATCAGTAATGGTCGAGTAGCATGTATATAATGCTACTAGTGATATTAGAATGGAGTTAACTGAGCGATTAAAAAAGACAACCATCGTACGCGTGTTCCAATGCGGGGAATCGAACCCCGGGCTGCTGTGAAATGCATGTGAAAGACAGCAATGTTAGCCACTAGTACTACATCACATTGGATAACTATCAAAGTTTTACGAAATGTTACACGACTAGAATGCGCCCTTGTTAGTTCCCTGTTACTTGGATGATCAAATATTCCGCCTCCTGCTCCCGACTCTCATCGATCTCATCTTCGAAGCTTCATGCAGCTCCGAGTCACTCTACCGCATCTTATTGAGCCAAAATATAGTTTCGCTCTACCAACCGTGACAGCTGTGTATCCACACGTTCACCGTAAGAAATTTTGCTATTCTTCAGTGTACCCTTCAAGTTCAGCTTATGGGTTTCTCTCAGTTTCAATCAGACTCTCCCTCAAAGTGCACAGGCTAGCGATGACCGACAATCTCTTATACAGTCTTGAGGGCAAATCTTTTATCAAGTGGCGCTTCAAGTCGGTTCCTTTCACTAGCTTTCCCGAAACTCTGCTTCCCCAATCTCTCGGCCAATGTTTTATGGAGCTAGTTCAGCTTTCAAGTGGTTGAAATGCACGTCGTACAAATCGTCAAGGCAAGGAGCAGATGAATGCAATCCCATGCAAACCTCTCAGGAGGCCGAAGTAGAATATAAGAGCCATATATCATCGATGTTACGTTCTTTCAGATCGATATTCTCAGGCGTGTAAGCTCAACGTTCATTTTTGGTTCTTTCACAGGCCAAGGAATTTACAGCCCAGGATTCTCTCGCAGACACACGGTGCCTTGGAGGTTCAATTGTCCTCAGTATCATAACTAATATCCAGTCGAAAGGTACTTGAGCTAGATTCTCGCGATTGGAACGCCTACCGATGAAAAAATACTCGCCAGATGGGATTGACATCGCAACATGACCATTCCAGCATCTACGCCCCCGAATCGTTGCTACTCGAACAAGGCCTACCGCGGAGATCCGATTCTCCCGAGGCGCTTGCTTTTTGTTTCGCCTTTTTTGGGTATGTCACCAGTGGCTCGATTTAGGAATCACAACAAGCCGGAATCGGTCTCGTCCGTAGAATAACAATAAGAGTCTGAGAGGTACGGTCAAAAAACCACTCTGACCCTTTGCTGACCGACGAAAGAAATCGCAGCGCTCCTGACCTAGATGCTTGAAGAGATAGTAGATCATCGAAGGCTGAAGCAAGAATTCAAGGTCCGTTGGTTACATTAACGCGGGCGAGAAATATGCCACTAATATTGCAGTACCTTCCATGCGCCATGGGCGGTGCCTTTGGTCGTCCATCCGGCCAAGGCGGTTAACGTTCCGGGCGAACATTCACGAAACTCGATGTTAGCCCATCATATGAATCGATTAGGGTCCAGGGATTCTGAGCAAACGTCACTCGCGAAGGATACTCGCGAATCTCTGTTCTGGACCCAGTGAGTATAGGCCCGGAATACTTTGATTTGTCGCATGAATCTGGACTCTTTACTCTCACAGCGCTAAACCTCGGAACTTCAGCTTGCGCCACCCGCTTTGACCGACCACAAAGTCAATTTTGCTTCCGTGCTTGTTTTGAACAAGAAAAGAGTCATGTCCTCGTTCGATGCGCCACCAAAGGCCAAACGAGGTGGTGCGGCCTAGGATTCTGCTTGAACATGCCACAGAACGCAAGTATAAAGGCGAGTTTCGAGTTCTGACAGCGTTGGAAAATATCTCCCTGACCACTCACTCTACAACCTAACTCGTTCTCAACGTTCTCAACATCATGAACAACAACAACAACAACAATAACGGCGGTAACAACAACAACCAAACCTCAGGCTTTTTCCGCCCTGACGGGTACGTTTCATCCTTTTACCCTATAACTTCGACTGATCATGAACATATAAAGGTACGCTGGCTCAAACATCCATCAACCAGGCTCAGATCAGCAGCTTCAAGCAGCTCAGTTGTCAGACGTGGATAAGCGAAACGCCACGCCGGAACAGATGCAACCCCCAGCTCAACCTGCCCGCACTCAGCAACAGCAACAGTAAAACGTTGGTTATGCAGACTTGTACGCTCCCACTCTACGCTACCATAAAGAGATGGTTTTAATGAATCGGAGCACGCAGGTACATGATTTACGCGTTCATATTCACTGAGGCGGACTTTGCTATTTCTATATCATATTGTGCTATGTTATAACGACTTGTCGTTTAATTCGTGTGTCTATAGTTCAGAGCTACTTCTAATCACATCCTTGTTAACTCTCAATATGCGCTCCACGAGGATAGAGACCGGTTTAAACAACAGGCAGAAGTACTTTTGAATCTCGAGCAAGAGCAGAAACGGAGTCGGAGCCCGATGAAAACTGTAAGCAATCCGTCCATTTACGACGCAGGGAATCGCACCATGAGCTATCGTGAACATTGATCGCAACATCCATGAGAGGTGATTATTATCTCCGCTACGCAACAACGGATATATCAGGGATGTATGCCCATCCCAAACCAGAACGTAAGTCCGTGAATGAAGAGGAAATCCAGCTGACATAGAATGGAGAACAGAGCATTTGAGGGGACAACATTCGTAGACGCCTAGAACAAGTGGGCAAAATTGAAGCACTCAGATACAACCCGTACTTGCCGCATCGCCTGCCTATGCTGCTACCGCGCCAACGTGGCAAAGGCCATCTTCGTCCCACCTTCTCCCTCCGGTTCTTGAGACGAGGGGCACGGGCTGATAAGGAGGAATCGTGAGTGTTGAACCCCAGGGACAGGGGATGTAGTTGGGTGCATGTCAACGATCGCAGACTTCTGGCGGATGAAATAACCGGTAATGGAGGAATGAGTGGTCCAGCCTCAGGAGGGTGCTATATAAGGAACGTCAGACAGGATCAGGAAGGGAGGAACAGAGTGCTAACCCTATGGACTCGTTTGCTGGCTCCTAGTCAGTCGTGAACGGTAGGCTTGGTTTGGGAGATATGTGGACAGGTCCGTTTGACAGGGAGTAGAAGCTTCGTGGAGTGTAGTAAGAGTCTTCTGGACGACGGATGGAGGACGACACAAGCGAGCCTAGAAGGAATTAAGGCGTTGAAAGGATGAGAGAACGAGAGGAACTTACGAGTACGTTGCCTAAAGTCTCGTCTATTTCATATACTTATGTCGCTGCCTGGCCTGAAATCAGGGCGATTACTGTAGATGGAGTCTTCCTGTTCGAAGGAAAGGAGGTGTATCGCGTGTTTTTATCAGGTTGAGTAGGGATGGATAGGTGCTGGGCTATGGGGAGCGGGGTTAGAACTTAGGCGCGAAGGAGATTAGGGGAAAGAGCTCTTACTGTCGATTTTTCACCCATGAGACACCTATACTGCATATCAATAGCACAATCTGCAGATCCTGGCATGTCTTGGAGCGATGGTGTTTCGAGGGAAAGGGACGGTGGTTCTCCTTGATAAACATTGCAGCGGGCCGGGCTAGGTCGGGGCTACAGGGAACATACAAGGTCATCTTCAGCAGGGCGGAGGAGAGAATAGAGAGTCTTACCATAGATGAATCCGAGAACTCCGACCAACAGGATAGAACGACTCGGAAAATAGAACAACGAGCAGCGAAGGAGCGATGGTGGAAGTCAACACGAAAAAAACACCAACGTGATTATCTAAGCCTTAGTCATGTGGGCGCTAAATGGCGCTAATCACTGGCCGATTCGTTCTATCTGGGGCACACTGGCATCTCAGTGTAGCATCGCATACCGGACACTGGATTGAAACCAGATACATCGAGGTTGTTAGAGCGAGGCACTCAGGCTCCACATAGTCGGCCTGTCAAGAGCACTTGAGTCACTAAAAGACCGATCTTGGTCACCGGTGCATGCCTTCTTTTACTGTATCCCGCACTAACTTGCATGCATTAGGGATAACGCACATGAAGTCCAAATAATTAAATCTAAAACAGGATAAAAAAAGCCATTTCCACTTTGCGAATGTCGCAAGTCCAAGGTCTAAATGCATATCGCGAACGCGAATATATGAGTACCCTAAGCAGACAATATAGCATTGATATAGCAATCATAGATGTTTGACGCTAAGTATTGCGCACACGATAGTCATGATGAAACACGCAAAACAACAGACCAGGGTCATTCTGTAAAGCCTATCATTCATTTTCGCAAGTTCCGCTTGGAACACCTGTTCGCGAGTGTCGACTGCCATCGATTGGGAAGAAGCTGATTCACTGTGCTTAATCAGGTTCGTCACTGTATCTCCTTTAGTTGCTGATGGAACCGTTTAGCATGAGAAGCGTGAGATCTCAAGAGAGCTAACCTTCTCCCTTGACGGCTTGGATACCGCCATCACTCTGTTCGAGAATCGCGGGTTCAGCTCGGAGCAATTCCTCACTTGTCTTTATGCCGTCTTGAAGTGGGGGTTCACTTGAGGTTACGCTTGGCTCTTTGGACGAGCTGACAGCTTGATCTTCCTCTCCGGGCGCTGATGGTGAAGCTCAGCGTATGAAACAAAAGGACGTTGAGATAGCAAACCTTCTCCTTCGACTACTTCGAACCGCCCATCATCCTGACTCGTAGAGTATAGATGTCGCCATTGTACTCGTGGTAATCTCCTCGAACATGTGTCAGGGCAGTGGTGTTGTGTTAGTCACCTTCGATGTGATTGATGGCACTGTGTTGGATTGTGAATCCTGAATTGTTGTTGAACATACTCTCGAGGTGTAGATCGTACGTGCGGAAGAGGCTCAGCGCGTAGAGAGGCCAACGTTCCGCCGGTGAACAGTTGACATTTAAACTACTGCCCACGGGGCTTCCAAGCGGTATGTTGGTCGGATAGAAAAACTTGGATCACTGAACATGCGCTGTACGTATGTTGTCCATTAACCTGCACACGCAGCGAAAGCCACAGGCAAATGAATTGTAGGCCGCTCGAGCTATTCAAGTTTAAGTTTTCTATACATAGATCTATTGTCGTTAATTACCTTGCTAAACTGGGAAGATGTACAGGCGGGACGTCGTTTCGCGGAAAGGTCACGGGCCAATCGGGACACAAGTTTATATATCGGCTTCCTTTTCTTGTACCTATCGTCCCTCGGCACGATCAAAGAGACTTCGAA